GTCAGTCTCAGGCAGATACAGTTGTGTTCCTTCCACACACGCATCCTCCCCATCGTCTTCGTGATTCGTGTGCTCCTTACCCAGTGGGAAGGGGCAAGGTCCGTGGCACAGCCTGGCCTACCCTCCCCCGCTGCGGGCACAGGAGATGGACCAGGAAGATGGGGAGGGGTACGCTATTTTACAAAAAGGTGGGACAAGCCTGCGGCGTTTTCTCTTGAGTCTCTGTTCTCGTGATTTGCCTTTCTTGCCTCAGTGAGCCCTGATGTCATGCTGCGTCTGATGAGCCAAAATCAGCTTTCTTTGCCTATTATTCCAAAGGTCACCCTCCACCCTCGGGCCATGCCTTGACCAAGGCTTGCTGGACTGAGGGGAGGGGCAGCCTGGCTCCCCAGCTGACTTAGAGCCTGGGTAAGTGTGTCATCCTCTTAGTCCCAAGTGTTCAGCGTCTCTCTAGGGCCTGCTGGGCGGGCGGATTACGGAGGGAGGCGACAGCAGCTGGTCTCAGAGCTCCTCTAGATCATCCAGCCAGTTGACTTAAACCATGGGGGCTGGCCCTTGTGGCTTCACAGTAATCACCTCTGGGGTAGGTGTCTGTAACAACCAACATGGAGGGAAACACTGCAATTTGCAAAACACTCTCCAATCCCTACCATGGTTTTAGTTTTGGGAGCATCTCCATAAGCAGATATGTTTGCTACTGATCTCAGTTTACAGCTGAGGGAAGGAATTCTCAGAGAAGCCTGGTAATTTAGCCGAGGTCATATGGTGGGTGTCTCATTAGAATTAATATTAATCAGCAGTACCCTGAATAAGGAAATGTTTGACATTTTTGCTGACCTAGAAGGTCTAGTACAGCAGGCTATGAATGTCACCCAGTCTTAGACTCCTTCCAGCTTCCTGATCTGCCATCCTGAGCTTGTAGCTTTTGTCCTCATGCTCATAAAATGGCTGCTGAACCCCCAAGCATCTCACCCATGTTCCAGGTAGTAAGCAGGTGGAAGAGGGAAAGGGAAAAATCAAAAGGCCAAGTTTGATTCTTTAAAAAATATTCTCCTCAAGTCTGCAGCAAGTTCTGCATCTCATTGGCCAGAACTGAATCTTCTGACCACCCTTGGCTACAAGGGAGATGGAGAAGTGGAGACTTTTCTGAGGTGCATTGCTGGGAATTCTGCCATAACGAAGGAAACAAATGTCTGGAAAGCCCACCAACATAGTCTGCTCACAACATAGCTCACAAAGCTTCCAAGCCAGAACCGGCAGCCAAACGGCTGGAATCTTTGAGGAATACTTAGTGGTGGGTACTGTTTTCAGCAGCTTACAAGCATGCAGACAGCCGGCAAAGGTGCCGTTTCACAACTTGCTGGCTTACAGGTGGTGTGAAGTGCGTACATCTCTATGCATCCCCTGCGGATCAGACCATTTAGGGCAGAGCCAGCCTTTCTCCCTGGGAATCCACAGTCAGGTTGAGGAGGCAGACATATGTCGTTGTGGCGGGTGCTACAGCCGAGGGAACAGGAACCACGAGCCCCGTGTGCAGTGGGTGGCAGGAAGGGCCACCCCCAGGAAGTGATGTTTGTGCCGAGGCTTTTCCAAGTGTGATGCCCTGCTGTACGTTCCTGCTGGTGGGGGCAGATGCAGCTTGAGGAGGATGAGAGGAGCAGATTATTTCTCTGGTCTACAGGCCAGTATATCCCAGCATGTGACCTATGGATTGCTGGTTTTTGGAGAAGCTGGAGAGATAGAAAGCAACCTACAGTCACATCAGTGGGAACCTGACTTCCTGCATCCCTCTTTAGAGAGTCAAAGCGCACGTTGCACATTAAAGGTTTTCTTTCTTCGCGGGACACCTGGCACAGGGTGTTAAAACGGAGACGTCAGAGAGCACAGGCTTTGGACTCGGGCAGTTTCAGATTCAGATCCTGCTGCGCCGTTCCAGCTGTGCGACCTTGAGCAAATTCCCCTCTCTTGGCCGCAGTCTCCTCATCTGGGAAATGTGGACCATCCCTAACCAGTGGGGTCGTTGTGTGGATTCAAGGAGGAAGCGAGTGTAAAAAGCTTGGAGCAGGGTCTGAAACAGTGATTACTGCCGCCCTCCTGCCCTCCCCTCTGCACCCTGAGAGAGTGGCTTTCTAGATTCTTCCAGAGGAGGTGAGAGGAAAACCCATGCAGCCTGGATTTCTCTCTCTTTTGCGTGGCCCCTGGCTGGGTCAAAACTCTGAGCAGGGTTCTGGCTCTGAACTTGGAAGAGCCAAGGCTGGTGATTTGGAGGGCGGAGGGGTCTTGCCAGTGTTTCTAGCCACTGTCCTAGCCAGACCAGGGACCCCGATGAGCCCCGAGACGGGCCTTTCCCCGTCAGGCAAGAGGACGCGAGGTGCACCGTGCAGCTCTGACGTCCTGGGTCCCTTGGTGCCCGCTCTTTAGGGGAATGTGGGGAGGTGCAGGGTGGATTCCTTCCCCCGCGAAACTGGGTGATTCATCCCCACAGGGACAGGACAGAATGTTCCTCAGGGACTGAAGAGGACAAACGGATGTGTCTGTGGGTGTTTTAATTCCTCCATCCAATCTTAGAGCCTGTCTTCTTAGTTTGGGCCAGTGGGGAGAGAGCATCAGGGCGGGCTGAGAACTTGTGTGCATGTGCGGGACACTTCTCGGGCGAGGTCACACTTGCCTTCTCTCCCCCTCCCTGTGAGGGCTGGTGCGCACAGAACTCAGAGGAGAGCTGATGGGGGCCAACACCAGTATGAGGACCCAGAGGAAGTGAGCTGTAATCCTGGTTCATTCGACAAGCTGGGTGCTCTGGGGGAAGTCACCTCAATTTCTTTGTCTATAAAATGGGACTGCTGGGCTCACCTGACTCTTGGTGGGTGCTTCGCAAATTGTATCCCTTACCTGAGCCCCCCTGCATGGAGGAGACCGTGCCACACCCCCACACCTCCACCAGGCCACTTCCACTTTCTGAGACTGGGTTCTTTACCCTTCCAAGTAAGGCTGACCATGGTGCTTCTGTTAAGAGCACAGGCTGAAGCTCCAGGTGGTGCGAGGCAGAGGGCCACGGTCACAGCGCTTCCCTGGTGCCTCGTGAGAGTGACGTGTCAGTGCCCCGTGAGGCTCGTGCCGGTCCCGGGAGGCCTCACACCAATCCTGGGACTCACGTGGAGAGGGCTTGCTGAGACTCTCACAGCCAGTTAAGGGGCAGAATGGAGCCAGAATCCAAAATGCGCCAACAGACTTTCTAGAGACATTATGTTTCCTGTGATCGTGCGAGCCTCAGGTCTTTATCCAACAGATCCTGAGCTGTGCGGGGGCCTGACGATATCACAGTAAACAGGACGGAGGCAGGCCCTTCTTTCTTGGACAAAATTTAGCTCTGGTTCCGCAGCTTTGTAACTTTAAGGCCTCCAAAGAGATCAGTCAACATCTGTTACCCATCCCCATGCCTGGGGGCTGCCAGACGCAACCCTGATGCCAACCAGGGCTGGACATCCCATATCTGCCACCAGCGTGGTGCCCAAGCACCTCATTAAACCCTCTGCCACCGTGCACTGAGCACGTCCATCCCTCCTGGGGCTGTGTTCTGACCAGCGTTATCTCCTCCGCAGAGGAGCCCGGGGGGAGGTGGCTGGCCCCCTGTCTTACAGGTGGGGCCTGGGGGCTCAGAGGGCTTGAGGAAAGGCAGAGCTTGGATTTGAACCCTGATGCCCCAGGCCAGTTCCAGGACACTGCCTGGCCGGGCCTATTTTTAGACAGCGCCGTGTGGGTCAGCTGGGCAGACAATAGAGAATGTGGCCCCCACAGTGGACCATTGTTCCCACAGCGGCTACAGGGCCAAGGCTGGGCCCAGCAGATGATCTGTGGCCCCCACTGGGGGCCAGGCTGTCGCTCCATCGTCTGTGGATTTTTCCAGCACTTGTATAGGCAGGAGCGAACAGGCACTGAGAGGAGGAAGGAGAGAGGCCCGGGGAGACGGGAGGCTCTGTGTTCAGGGCACTCATTGTGCTGGGTGATTAGGCAGGTGGGCCAAGAGGACCAGTGTGCTGGGGTGGGCCTGGGCCCCGACAGGGAGCAGAGCCCCCTCCATCCTCGTGCCTGTTTCTACCCATCGCCATCCCGCCTAAAGCACTCGCCGTCCCCCGGGCAGCCCGGGGGACGCTACAGGGGTCCTCAGAGCAGGGCCCTGGGAAGCCCTGGCCTTGCTCTGCCTGGGATAGAGAAGGGAGCCAGTTTTCGTTAAAAGTACAGATACTGAACTTTCCCACTCTCGAGGTAGAGCCTGAGAATTGGGGTGTATTTCTTTACTTTTGAGCCAAGTTCTTTTGATTGACAACCACTGACATCAAGGGATGGGGGGCTGACTACCTCAGTCCCCTCCTACCATGGCCCTGCAGGCCCCCTGGTGGGTTAAACCCCCTTTCTCTCAGTTGAGCTCTCACCCCTCTTCCATGTCTGCCGCTCGGAGTGGCTCCTCTGGCCAGAGAGGCCTGCCACCTGAAACTCAGTGCTTCCACCACCGGATGAGAAGCTGCCTCGGGACACAGTGGGATGCGTGCTGGGGGTCTGCAGCAGTACCTCCCGCCACGCCGTTGCTGCACGTCCCCCATGACAGCCCCGTCTGTCTGCTGTCTCCCCCCAGGAGCAGGACATCGAGACCCTGCATGGCTCCATTCACGTCACACTGTGCGGGACCCCCAAGGGAAACCGGCCTGTCATCCTCACATACCACGACATTGGCATGAACCGTAAGTCCCGAGGTGCCCCTGGGGAGCCGGTTCCCGCCGGGGCTGGAGGACCAGGATGGTGGGTGGTGGGGAGTCCAGTTCTTTTTTTGCTGAGACTTCCTGGAGCTGTTCTGGGAAGAACTCTTGCCACAGACTGGAAGAGCCTGGAATGCACTGCCTTCCTCCACCGTCTGTCTGTGTGACAGGGACTTCTTTCAATGAATGCCTGCAATGGTTTTTAGTATATTCACTGGGTGGTGCAACCATCAGCACAATCCATTTGAGAGCATTTTGATGCTGAAAAGAAATCCTGTCTTCTTATCTGTCATCCCCCCAATCTCCCACACCCCTCAGCCCCTGGCAACCACTGGTCTACCTTCTGTCTCTGAGGATATGCCTATTCTGGACAGTCTTTTATCAATGGAATCACACAGTATGTGGTCTTTGGTGACTGGCTTCTTTCAGAATGTTTTCAAGGTTTGTCCACATCACACCATGTGTCTGTCCTCCATTCTTTGGCTGAATGGCAGATATTCCATGGTATGAATGCACCACATTCTGTTTATCTCTTCTCAGTTGACGGGCGTGTGGCTTGCTCCCACGTCCCCGCTGTGCTGAACACTGCCGCTGTGAATGTGTAGACTGCGGATTTTTAAGATTGTCAGCAAGTGTTACCAGATGTAGGTTTTTCACAGATGGGAATGGAGTAAGATCTTCTTAATAGTAAAATTACACAGGACAGAAATGATTCTGTGATGATTCAGAAGGCACTTACAGCCCTTCCTGGTCCAGTGAGTATTGCAAGCCGGATGCTTGCTTGCACTTTGATTGACGGGCTGCCGATTTACATTGGTTTCTTCCCCCTACAGCTTGTAATTCCTTGAGGCTGGGAATGATGTCAGCCACTGAAAACTATTTTTCTCTTTCACGCTCACTTTTATCTTTCTTCTTGCCCTGTGTGTCCCCCTTGTGATCATTACGAACCGGGTGCCATGTGAGGTACTTCGATGTGCACCACCTCATTCCACTGGGCTCTGAGGAGGACGTGGGGTGGATAGTGTCAGCGTATCACGCCCCGCTGTTAGAGCGCCATCAGTGCTGTAATGAGGGACCCAAGGCCTCTGTGGCTTAACACAATGTATGTTCACTTCCCACTCGTAGAACAACTCCGTGAGCGTTCTGTGGGACACCTTCCACGTGGGGATTCGGGGACCCAGGCTCCTTCTAGCTGTGACTCCACCATCCCCTGGGGTCACTAAGGCCTCTGTTGGCTCCTCCACATCTGGCAGAAAGGGAAGGGCGCGAAACCTAGAGGACTGGGTGGCAGGTGTCTTGAGGGAACTCTGAGCCCCACCTGCTGTTGTCCAGAACCCGATGGCCTCTGATCACAAGGGAGGCTGGGAAGTGTAGTCCAGCTGTGTGTCCGGGAAGAAAAGGGAAAGGGTTTGGTGACCAGCTGGCCATCTTTGCCTCAGGCCGTTAGCAATTAGGAGACTCATCCCCGGCCACATAAGAATACTCCTGCTTGTTTGAAAGTCATGTGTGCCCTGGCCAGTATCCTTGAAGTGAGGGTTTAGGAGACCCAGAGAGAAACAGAGGGTCAGTGGAGCGACCCCACCTCACTGGAGGACCATCAGGCCATGACAGACGGGAGGAAGAGGGGGAAGCCGGCTGGGACGGGATTCCCTCCCAGTGCTGACTGGAGGCTTAAGGACATCCGCCAGCGTGGGCAGTAGCGTCATTGACCGGGTCCACCTCCTCGCTCACGCCCTTGCCCCATGACTTAGTCTTCCCTTTTATCTCCAGAGGAAAGTGGTAAAGAAAAGGTGGCTCTTTCTCGGAAGTTCCGTGCCCCTACTGAGTGGGCGTGAAGCAGACAGGATGAGCCGCTGCCTTAGTCTCCCCTGACTTCTCCCTCTTCTCTCCCGCCTGCCCGCTCTCCAGACAAAACCTGCTACAACCCCCTCTTCAACTCCGAGGACATGCAGGAGATCACCCAGCACTTCGCCGTCTGCCACGTGGACGCGCCCGGCCAGCAGGACGGGGCTGCCTCCTTCCCCGTGGGGTAAGGGGATGGAGCCTCGGGCCCCAGGGCAGGGGTCGGACACCCACGCAGGGTGCAAACAGCTGGTGGGGGACGCAGTGGATGGCTTTTAATACTTTTTTTTAATTGTGGTAAAACATATATAACCTGAGCTTTACCGTTTTACCCGTTTCTAATTGTACGGTTCAGTGACATTAAGGACGTTCACATTATGGTGCAACCCACCATCTGTTTCCAGGACTTCTTCATTAGCCTAAAGTGAAACTTCGTGTTCATCAAACAACAACTCCCCATTCTGCGCCCCTCCCTGCTGCCCCCTGCCTCAGCCCCCGCCCCACACCCACTTGGCTGGGCTGGATTTTTAATAGGTGTACACGGCCTGGGCAGGACCGAAGTGGGAGAGGGCCTTGAGAAGACTAAATAGTAGAAAGATCTCAAAAGTTGGAAAGAAAAAGGGAGGGCATGATTGAAAATCATATTGATGAGGTACGTCCTGTGGGCCAGGCTTAATAATCTTTATTTACAAATGTCATCTGCATTTAATCCTTACGTGGCTAGTACTGCTGGCCCATTCTCTAGATGGAGAGACTGAGGCACGGAGGGGTTCACGACCTTGCTCAGGGTTGCCTGGCTAGTTTAACTGGGGGAGTCAGGTGTGAGCCCATCTGCAGACCCTGACTTGTATTCTCTTTGGAACATCAGGCTGCCTTGTTCTTGGGTGTTGGCACTGCCTGCTCCTCCGCAGCATGTGGCTGGCATGGCCCTTCAGTTCTCATTGTGAGGCTGAGTCCAGAATTACAGAGTGCACTGGACAGTCTGGGTCACATCGGGGAGGCAGACCTCTCAGAGGCCCCCCGCCATGCTGCCATCAAACCAAAGTAGGAGCAGGTTCTTGGGTTTCAAGTCTCCTACAAGGGGCCTTCCTGGTATCCACAAATAGATCTCCTTTTTTGTTAGTGTTCTGAATCATCTTTAATAACTAACCTTTATCAGAGGAAGGGAAGGGACACCGAGACCTATGTTAAGAGTTGAAAGCTTCTTAGCACAACAGTGGATTAAGACAGACGTGTCAGTGTGTCCATCTTTGGTTGGAACAATTGTCTGAAAGACCTGGAGTTGACCCCATGGCTCTCAGCTCCCCAAGGGGATATTTAAAAAATATTCTGAAACCTGGGCCCCATTCCCAGGGACTTTTATTCAGTCGTCCTGGAGGCCTGGTGCAGGGCATTTGTTCCCTCATGTCTCCAGGTGACTTCAGTGGATGGCTGGTGGGAACTGCTGTCTGAATGGGGCCTGGCTTGCTCTGCCTCCTGTGGTTGAGGGTCTCCTGGCCCCTCTAGGATGCACTCTCTCTCTCTCCATCCTGAGGCTGAGATGGCAGAGTAGGGGTGGGGGTCCCTGGCTGGGTTCCTCCCAGCTCTGGAGTCAGCTTGGATGAGTGGGGATCTTGTGAGTAGAATGTGAACTTGACCCCCAAGAGCAGTGAGGAAAGAAGTCGCAGAGTCAGATGGCTCCCCCACTATCACTCTCTGGGGGCTGCTGGCCCCACCTGAGCCATAGCCATTTCAGAAAGAAAATGTCTCCATTTACGTGTAGCCACACCAGCCAGGGTCTTCCTGGCTCTTGCCTTTCACACACGTTGGTCCCCCTTGCCTAGAATATGTTCCCTGCGCTCTTCAGTCCTCAAGCTCCCTGCCATGTCCTCTTCAACATCACTTCTTCCAAGAAGCCCTCCCTGACCACGTGATCAGATCTCCCTGTTTCGATCTCCCCCCTCAGACTCTTTGCCTCCCTCGTGGTCACCATTGTCATTAGTCACACTCACCTGCTTCTGCGGGCCCCCTGCCCGGCTCCTGCATAGGACTGTGTCTGCCTTGCTTACGGGGGCCCTCCTGTTGCCCGCCAGGAGGCTGGCATGAGGAAAGGCCAATGACTCCCTTGTTGACCGGAAGGGAACCCTTCCTGCCCGCTCTGAGTCCTCTGCCCCGAGGTCGGCACTGGAGAATGCCTCTGGTCAGTGCCATCCCCACTCCTCGCAGCACCTGGACCATCTGGGTCTGGTGAGGCATCTTGACGGCTCTCCCAGGGACCCGCCGGCTGGATCAGGACATTCGGAGGAGCTGGCTTCTCACATAGCATGTCAGGTGGACCTGCTTTGATGAAAAGGGCCAGGCTCCCTGATGACAGCCACAGCCTTGGTGAAAGGGACAATTCTTTGAGTTCCTCCTGGGAACACAGAAAAAAAAATGGCAAGAACGCTGGCTGGGGTTGTTGGCACCTGGTGGAGCAGAGGTCCTTGGGCTCCTTTTTGGAAATTCAGGGGAGATGAAGGCACACTTGCTTCTGGGGAGGCAGAGGGAACAGCGTGTACAAAGGCCAAGAGGACAGCCAGCTTAGACACAGTAGATAATCGGGGAGGAGAAACCTGGGTTCGGAGAGACACGGTGGGTGCGGTTGCTGCTGGCCCAGGGGGAGGAGCCAGTGTGGAAAGTGGCTCTATATGCTGCCAGGGGTTGGCCACTGGCGTCCACATTGGAAAGGAGGGCACAGTGGGAGCAAGAGACCCTTTCCCGGCCCTGCTAAGGAATGGTGGTTGTAGACTCTGTTGTTTCCTGCATCCGGCAAAGGGGAAGCTCTCACCTTAACGAGCACCCAGGCCGCCTGCCAGCTCCCTAATCACCCTAATCACACACCTGCTGTGTGTCCTCACTGCGATCACCCTCCTCCGTACCTGCTGTCATGGACCAGTTTTGAGCCGAGGGGAGCGCCCTCAGCCCTCTGGTAACAGGAGGTGTGGTCCCAGAGGATGTGTGAGTCGAGGCATCCTTGTGCCTTAAAATCCCCCTGGAAATCTGTTTCCCAGAGCCCGATAGCCCACCGGGTCCAGCAGATCAGGGTGGCTGGCCTTCTCTGTCTCCTCTCCCAAGCTCCTTCCTAAGCATCTCTTGGTGAGAGGAGTTAAGAGAGGGAAGGGCTTCCTGAAGGTCAGAAATGCTCCACGGGAGGGCTGCCAGGAGACCTCCTTTGGGGTCGTGAGTGAGTGCATGGGCCTTGAAATCCCAAGAGCTCCAAGTCCTGCCTGTTCCCCTGAAGCCAAGCTGCTTATCCTTAGCCTATGTGATAGGTGATGTTCGCAACTTTTCCAAGGGGGACACCCTCGAAGCCTCACAGAGATGTTGTGAAGATTAAATGAGCCTATAATGCTAATGGAGGCTTAGGGTTGGGCCTGGAACATGGGAAGCAGTTTGCAGAGGGTCACTCTACAAACAAAAGGTGGGGGAGTCAGGATGGAGAGCATCCTTGCTCAGGGGAGCAGGCCGTGTACCCTGTGGGGCGGGGTGCTGGGAACAGGGGCCACAGGGACGAGACTGGGGAGTCTGGGCGCTCGGGGCGGGTTGCTGCGCAGGCCCTGCCCTCCAAGCACATTCCCGTTTGCGCCGTTCATCCCCCCGGGGTCCGGGCTCTCGCTAACTGCCTCCCCCTGGCCTCTCCCAAGGTACATGTACCCCTCCATGGATCAGCTGGCCGAAATGCTCCCTGGAGTCCTTCACCAGTTTGGGTAAGAGTCGGGATCCCCTTCCCCGCCAGCTTGCAGACAAGGGTGACCTCTAGCTGCTGCCTCTCCTGCGGCCTTGCCCTGGCCCCACCCGCTGCAATTTTGGTTAACATTTAAGGATCAGGGGAGAAACCAGCTTGTCATGCTCTGCGAACACTTTCTCCCGCAGCCGCTTTACTCCGGTCTGCTTCTTGTAAGCTGAGTTTTTCTCCTGGGTGACTCCATCGCCTGATGACAGCCACCCCACCCATCCCTTCCTCCCCTCTCTTTCATTGCTTTCTCTTTCCCATGGAACATTCTGGAATAGGGTTGCATGAGCCCTCAACTTCTCCATCCAGGCCCTTACGTCTTCAGTGCTCATTTCCTTCTTTCTCGAGCCTTTTGTATGATGATAACACCTCAGAGTTCTTGCCCAATTTATTTATTTATTTTAATTTAAATTAAAAAAAATTTTGTTTGCTTTTTTAATTGAAGTTTAGTTGATTTACAATGTTGTGTTAGTTTCTGGTGTACATATATATATTCTTTCTCATATTCCTTTTCACTGTAGGCAATTACAAGATATGGAACGTAGTTCCCTGTGCTATATATTAGCATTCCAGGTTCTAGAATCCAAACTAAAGCTCAGGAGCAGGAAGAAGCAGTGCAGGAAATAGGCCTTCTTGTAAACAACAGCCGGGCTCTCAGAGCCTGGCCGCGGTCGGGAGAGCAGTGTGGAAGGGGGCGAGTCTCTCCAAGGTCATGGGCTTCCGTCAAGCCTTATAAAGCATGGTGCACTGCAGGTCCTCCAGGGCGTGTACGGCAGTGGGTTCCCCTTTGGCTAGCCTGCCAGCACCCCAGGGAGGCCCAAGACAGACGCTGGGGCAGGCAAGGTTCCTCAGAGCAAGGGGGAGCTAGGTTCTCAAAGGGTTGTGCGGGCTCCCCTCATTCTCTCCTTCTAAGACATGATTTTTTTTATTTCTGCTTCCAGGCTGAAAAGCATTATCGGCATGGGAACTGGAGCAGGAGCCTACATCCTCACTCGATTTGCTGTGAGTTATTTGGCATTAAAAAAATAGGTTTTGAATAAAATTAATTCAAGATTAAGGAAGGAATTTGGAAAAAGCACCCCAAAATCCCAAAAGGGAAAAAAATGACCCATAATTCCATTTCTCAGAGGAGAACCGCAGTTCACATTGGGGTGTGTGGTCCGGAGTTCTGCATGCACATGGGGGTGCGGGGGTGCCATACTCACCAGAGGACTCTTTCTCCTACACTGAAATGCTGTTCCAGACATATTTTTATCATCGTCTTTGCTCACTTCGTGGTGATTGTGGCCGGGTCCTCACGTCACTGACTATTCTACTCTGCTACTTCCTCGTGATAGCCGCCCCGTTGTTGTAGTCAGGGAACTCTTGGACCCTGGCCGATCCCAAACTAGAATCAGAGATCCACGTGGTAACGTGATCACTGTGGGTCCCAGTGGGTGCTGCCGGGCCCTTTGTATCCCTACCAAACAATTGTTTAAAAATGCAGTGATGCTCAACTGTATGTATTCCTCCTGCCTGTTACTTGCGGGACTTTGCTAGAGGTTAGCAATGCCGACGTGAACCCTAAACGGTCTGGCTCTCTAGGCTCTGAGCAGATGAAATCAGCTCTCAGCTGTATCTCAGATTTCTATCCCTCAGTCTCCGAGAAGTAATAGAATTCTTACTGATGACTGAGGGACATCTGAGTGCCCCGTCTGATTTATGAGGCCAATGGTATGGCACACCCATTTCACAGCTGGGGAAGCTGAAGGACAGCGGAGTGAAGTGACTTGTCCCGCAAGTCTGCCAAGCGCACATGCTCTACTTCGATGTTCTCTTCCCACGTCCCTAGGGACAGTGTAGTGTCTGCTAAGCGGGAGCCTCCACTGGCAGGGCCGGGGCGCTGAAAGCGGCAGCCTGCTCTGGGGGCCACAGGGGCTCTCTTCTGGTGCTTTTCTCAGTCTTCGGTTTGACGTTTAAAGTTCGCAGTATCTCGGATGGCGGGGTTGTCTCTCTCATTCTGTATCTTGAATTGCAGCTGAACAACCCTGAGATGGTGGAGGGCCTCGTCCTCATCAACGTGAACCCTTGTGCGGAAGGCTGGATGGACTGGGCCGCCTCCAAGGTGAGGCTGGGGGCTTGGATAGGGCAGGGGTTGTCCCAGCCTGCAGAGGGACAGGTGTGCCCCACCCTGCCTGGAGGACACAGTCAAGAGACCTCTCCAAGCCCTACCTTTCCATCACCCCCAGCAAAGAAAGCAGATTGCTTGGCTCTGCTTGGCTTTGAATAGTGAACGTGACCTCAGCCGTGTGCCATTCAGATTCCAATAGGACATCCTTGCCCAAGCCGGCAATACCAGTGGGACTTGGGTCCCCAGCCAGCTTTGATCAGCACAGCCTGGGTTAAGAGGTATTTACTGGGGACTTAGCATATGCTGGGCTTAGATCACGATGCTGAGAATAAAAAGATGAACAAGACAGATGCCTCTCACCCCGGTTACCTACATACTACTACTGAAAAAGAAATATGTATGAGGCACTGACTCTATGCCACTTAGTTCTACGACAATAATAACTAATATGTACTGAACGTTGATCAGTTTCCCTTTCTGCTCTCTGTGGCTATGCGTGCGTGACTTCATTCAATACTCATGGTCACTGTAGGAGGTGGAGATTGTTATACCCATTTTACAGAGGAGGAAAACTGAGAGTTGCAGGGATTAGGAATCCAGGGATCCAGGGTGGCACAAGGCCAGACAGTGGGAGAACTGGGGCTGAATGCAGATTCCTTGGACTCTGTGCTCTGTGACATCACCCCTGAGCTGGGCCCATTGCCTGCCCCGTCTCTCCAGCAGGCATCGAATGCCCGCTTTGACCTCAGCAGCGCAGGTCTGGGAGCGCAGAGCGAGTAGGACACACCCCTGCCTGGAAAGGCGGCCCGAGCTGTCTCAGGAAGCTCTGCTTTGGCTGGTGTCCTCGGGTTCCTTGTTTATCTTTTAAAAATGATTTTTTTTTCATAAAGTCCCCAGTGTTTGCCAAGGAGGGGGGAAGCCATTCCAATGGAAACAGGACAAAGACTTTCAAGCTAGGGGTGATTCTGGCTTCTC